GAAGCTGTCACTCCATCAAACGAGCCTTTGCTTGAGCATCAGGAGGAGAGTTTTTGGGGTTGGGTGTAACTGGATAACGCACCGTTAACGAATCCCTGTGTAAACAGGAGCAGCTCCCCCAAGACCTGACAGTCCGGGCTCTCCCTGTTCTGCACTTGGCTTTTGCTGCTGCCCCTCTCTGAGGTGAGAGGTGTTGAATGGGCACTTCTGCCTGGTGTGGTCTCCTGGGGGGAGAGCAAAGGGGGCTCACGCTTCCTGCTCGCTGGAGAGGAGAGGTGGTTGGAGAGGGGCTGGAGAGGGGGATGAGAGTTGTGCTGAATGCTGATGCTGCCTTTGGGGGAGGCCTTGGGAGCCACCATCTCGCTCTTGTACACAGTCACAGAATCCCAGACTGGTTTGAGTGGGAAGGGACCTTAAAGCTCCTCCAGTCCCAACCCCCCTGCCAGCAGCAGGGACACCTTCCACTAGACCAGGTTGCTCAAAGCCTCATCCAACCTGGCCACAAACACTTCCAGGGAGGAGCAGCCACAGCTTCTCTGCCCAACCTGGGACACTGGCTCACCACCCTCACACCAAACAATTTCTTCCTCACATCTCAGCTCCATCTCCCCTCTGACACTTTCAAGCCATCACCCCTTGTTCTCTCACTCCCTGCCCTTGGCCAAAGTCCCTCCCCACCCTTCCTGGAGCCCCTTCAGGTACTGGGAGGCCACTAGAAGGTCTCCCCGGAGCCTTCTCTTCTCCAGGCTGAACAGCCCCAACTCTCTCAGCCTGTCCTCACAGCAGAGCTGCTCCAGCCCTCGCATCATCCTGGTGGCCTCTGCACTGGCTCCAGTAGCTCCATGTCCTATTTGTCCTGAACTCCTGCCCTAGCTACTGCTTGCCTGGCCTTTGCCTGTGTCCTGCTGCCTGGACTTTTCCAACACTTGTTTCCTTAATGACCAACCAGATATTCCTGTCACTGTTTCCTTAACCCCCAACTACCACCACTGTCCAGGGTGGTCCTGGCTCTGTCCCTGCCTGACTGGGCTCAGTTCTGCTCCTTTCTGCAGCAGGTTTCTGTTGCCTCTGCTGTGGTTGGGCTAACATGATGCTGAACAGACTGTTTCCTCCTTGAACATCTCTCCACTTAACAGCAAGGTGCTGCTGCTCTCTAGGAAATAGCTGCGGGCTGCAGAGAGGGAGGGGAAAAATAAAAAGGCTGTAAATGCTCACGCTTCTCTGTGCTGTTGGGTCTGGGGTGGCTCCTGTGAGCTCTTCATTTAGCAAAGTCCAGGCCTGTGCAGACCTTTCTTGGTGAGAAACTCCTCCAGGAGCTTTGCTGCTGGGACTTAGGGGTGCAGGTTTGGGTTGTGCTGATGTAAGAGGGACGTCCAGCTGCTGGTTGCACTGGAACAAGTTGCCCAGAGAAGCTGTGGATGCCCCATCCCTGGAGGTATTCAAGGCCAGGTTGGATGGGGCCCTGGGCAGCCTGATCTGGTGGTTGGCAACACTCCACAGCAGGGGGGTTGGAACTGGATCGTCTTAAACTAAGAGAGGGGAGATTTAGGTGAGATATTAAGCGGAAATTTTTCACCCAGAGGGTGGTGAGCCAGTGTCCCAGGTTGGGCAGAGAAGCTGTGGCTGGCCCCTCC